AACCCTGAGCCGGTGAGATTTGAACCGCTGACCTGCTGATCTAGCAGTAGCCTGCAGTGCTGCATTTAACCACTGCGCCACCTTGGCTCAGGTGGTGTAAGGTCTCCTGCCTAGGCAGGGGGTTGGACTAGAAGACCTCCAAGGTCCCTTCCAACTCTCTTATTCTACTCCTATTCCTACTCTATTCTACCATTCCAGACCAATGGCTTCCCAATCTCTTCCAGGGATGGAGCAGCGGCAAGATTGTTGGAACTGCAGTTTCAAAGCACTGCGGTCGGGTGATGCTCCACTTAAGGACGGCTTCTCTTATCCATGGAAAGTCTGGGCCAGATTAGGGTTATAACCTGAGGACTACTGGTAAGAATAGTCGGGTTTTATGGAGGAGTGGAAGTGGTGTAAGATCTGGCATCCCCCCCCCCCTAGTTTCTGATGAAGCACATACAATGAAGAGCAGAGACATTCAATGTTTTTATTTATTTACTTGATGTTTTTATTTATTTACTTGATTGATGCAGTCATCTGCATTAGGCTGATGTGACTCTTCTGAAGTGGCTCGCAATAAAATTAAAAAACCATAAAACACAATGTAAAAATATATAAAAGTAGAAAGACACCACCGGGTTTAATCTAATGCCATGAATGTCCAATCTTGGCCACTTGAAGGCCCGTGGAATTCAGCTCCCAGAATTCCCCACCCAGCTGGGGAAGAGCCAGCTGGGGAATTCTGGGACTTGAAGTCCTCAAGTCTTCAAGTTTGGAGACCTCTGGACAATTGGGTTGTCCTGTGGAGTTGCTGGGTGAAGAGCGGCCGAGAAGAAGATGGGGCTGATCACCTCTGGCCAAATAGCCTCGCTGTCATGTCTGACCAGCCACCCACCCCCTTGTCAACGGCTGTCCTCAGGAGGGGTCGTAGTGGGTCAGGACTGAGCTCCGGGGGGAAGGGCTTGCCTGGGGAAAGGCCGGGGGGACGATGTCCATGGGATTGGTCACCCAGACATCATAGACCGTCTTGTTGGGTGGCATGGCGTCCTCCAGGCCCAAGTCCACCCCGGAAGAGGAGAGAGGACTCAGAGAGGGCCGGGGCATCAGCTCCCAGTAGGCTGGGTGTGGGAAAGGCAGGGGGCTGTAAGAGGGGAAGGCTGGGTTGGGGGAGAAGGACACTGCCTGCCTTTGGGGGGGCACCACCACATTGGGAGCCACACATGGGGTGTAGGAAGTGGGGAGCTGCTCCCAGAATGGGGCAGCGGGTGGCGGAGTGCCCTCCCGGGAGTCCGAGTCGCTGGTCTCAGGAGCCAGGTGGAGGATTCTGGGGCGCTTGGCTAAAATCGGGGTGCCAGCCCCCTTTTTGGGCTCCTCATTGGCGGACAAGGAGCTGAGGGAGGCAGTGCTGCTGGAGGACGAGAGGGAGCGGAGCCCGGGCAGAGGGCCCGGGGCCCGCCAGGGGAGGACTGGGGCGCCCGAGGAGACCTGGAAGATGGGGACTGTGCCCCAGACCTCTGAGGCCGCGGTGGGGCTCCGTGGCGGCCCACTCTCGGCCCCCACTTTCCCCGACAGACCCACGCCCTGGAAGTCGTGGAGCAAGGCCTCGATGCTGAAGGGGCTGCTCTGATGGCCCCCTGCACCGCTTGGGAACCCACTCCCCTCCGGGGCGGGCCCGTTGAGGGGCGGCTGGGGGCCTTTCGGAGACCAGCCATGGTAGATGAAAGGACCCAGGTCGACCGCGAAGGCCGTCTCCCCTTGACGGGAGACGGCTGTGTTCTGCAGCTTCAGAGTTTCTGGCGGGATGAGGTCCACGTCAACGGTCCAGAAGTTTCCCTTCGCCTTCGGCTTGGAGGGGTCTTTCAAAATCTGCAAGAGATTTTTTAACAGATTAACAAGAGTCGGAAGGGACCTTGGAGGTCATCTAGCCCAACCCCGCTCCCACTCAAACAGGAGACCCTACACCATTTCTGACGAATGGCACTCCGGTCCCTTCTTGGAAGCCTCCAGGGATGAAGCTCCCACAACTTCCGAAGGCAACTTCTGTTCCGTGGGTTTATTGTTCTCCCTGTCAGGAAATTCCTCCTTATTTCCAAGTTGAATCTCTTCTTGGCCAGTTTCCATCCATTCTTCCTTCTCTGGCCTTTGGGTGCTTTGGATTATCCAAGAAGCTTCATCAGTTGAGATTGGATGGGGGGGGGGACCTATCCTTCCATCTCCCCACCATCCAGTCCCAACAGAGGAACCTTCTTGGCTAAGAAGCGAAATGTACCCAAAGGAATCTTTCTGGCTGAACTGAACTGATGATTTATTCCAGTTGAAACCAGTTGCATTTTGGGGGCTACCCAATGGGTTGGAAGATGAGCCTAATTGGGCTATCCAGAGATTAGCCACGAACCGCCCGAT